CACAAAACCCCCCCTTTAAAAAACCCCTTCCCTCCAACCCTTCCTAGCCGACCCAACCCCGCCTTCCCTCCACTATAGATTTATACACTCTCTTAGTCATCTGTTTTTTTTTCTATTCTCTCTACATGTCCGAACCCCCTCAACGCCCCTCCTCAGTCCTCTGGATAATAGTTTTGGTAATCCCACATCTTCTCCTAATTTCCATACTACGAATTAACTGCATTATTTTTTCCCACACCCACCATTCCCACTCAGACATTACATCTCCACTGCCTCCAGCTTCCTCCTCGTTGCAACATTCATCACCCATGCTTCAACCCATACAAGAGTGTTGGTACAACTATAAATCTCATACTTTTCCCTTCTTTGCTTCCACGGAAAAAGGGTTCTTTGTCTCAACAGACTCCAAAGTGCAACCACTCACCCTTTTCCCCTCAACCTATTCTATGATTCACCTCATCCTTAAATAGACCCATCTGCTGACACGTCAACTCCTAAATATCTGAATACATTCCCTCCTCCATATCTCTCTCCCTCCAATCTGAATCCAAATCTTTCGCCACCTAATTCTTTTTGTTATCCCCCATCACCTTACTCTTCCCCTATATTCACCTTCAATTTTCTTCTTTTACATACCCTACCAAATTCATCCACCAACCCCTGCAACTTCTCTCAGAATCTCCCAAAAGCACAGTGTCATCAGCAAAGAGCAACTGAGACAACTCCCACTTTGTATTTGACTCTTTATTTTTTAACTCCACACTTTTTGCCAAGACCCTCGCATTCACTTTTCTTAAACTCCGCCCTATAAATATATTGAATAACGACGGTGACATCACACATTCTTTTCTAAGGCCTACTTTTACCTGGAATAATCTCCCCTCTCCTACATACTCTAACCTCAGCCTCACTATCCTCATAAAAACTTTTCACTGCTTTCAGTAACCTACCTCCTATACCATACACCTGCAAAAATCTTTCCACATTGCCATCCTATCCACCCTGCCATATGCCTTTTCCAAAACCATAAATGCCACGAAAACCCGTTTTTCTCTTATCTAAAATACTGTTCACCTATAGTTTCACTGTAATTACTTGGTCTACAACAAACCCTCTACCTTCCTAAAGTCTCCTTGTTCATCTGCTATTCCTATCTCCGTCTTACTCTTAATTCTTCAATAAAACTCTACCATACATTTTCCCCAGTATATCAACGACTTTTTTCCCCTACAATTTTTGCCTCTCTTTGACCCCCTTTCCCTTTATACAAAGGACAGCATGCTCGTGCCAATCTTAGGTACCTTTCCCCTTCATACTTTTTTTTAAATAATACAAAACCACTCAAAAACTATATCCCCTCCTGTTTTAAACATTTCAACTTTATCCCATCAACCCCCCGCGTTTTAAAACCCTTTTCATTCACCACACATTTAAAACTGGCTCTTCCTCACTACTACAAAATGTTTTTCCCCCTTTGCCTCTACACGAAATAAAAGTTTTCCCTTTTTCATCAGCTTTAACTTCCTAAAAATAATCCCTCCATTTTCCCCCGATATTCAATTTTCCCATTTAATAACTTCCCCCTATTTTTAATTCAAATCCATTTGTTCCTTAGGCTTGCCAACTCGTTAATCTCACTCTAAAACTTTTTCTTTTTTTTCAACAAAATTTTGTTGAAAACATCCACCCACTCCCCCATTTGCTCTTTTTTTATATTGCTTCACCTTCTTTAACCTCTCTTTTTCTCTCCATATGCTCCCCCTCCTTGCATCACTTCTACTTTTAAAAACACCCAAGCAAAAATTTTTCTCCGTTACTACCTTTTTAACATCTCATTCCAACATCGCTCCTCTTCCCCCCGCACCCACTTTTTTGTAACCAAAAAATTCGCTGAAAACTCAAACACTACACTTTTAAACCTCCCCCATACATCTTCGCCCCCCATTGCCTATACTCAAGCTCATCTATACCCCAAATTGTTTTATTTTTCCCAAACCCCTCCCCCTTTTGGTTTATTAAAAAACCTTCACCTCCTTTTACTTGCTGCTTTTTAGCTTGTTTTCCATTACCTTTTACTCTCACGAGCTACAACTAGAAAGTGTCTAATATATGTGGGGCCCCCCCACTATAAACTGTACACCCTGAAGTCTACTCAATATTTCTTTTAACTCCCAAATACTAGTGCAACACACTAATGTCTTAACCTACATCATACTTTTACACTTATTTACTCCTTTTTTAAAAAATAACAATTACCAAAGACTAAACCTTTTATATCAAAGCTTAAAAAAAGGGGGCCCCATTATCATTTACACCTGGCCCCCCAAAATTACCTACCCACCCTCCAAAAATGTTTCTCCTACTTTAAAAATTTTGTCCCTTACCAAAATTACCTCTCTTTTGGGTTCAAAGATTCCTATACTTGTGAACTTTCCCCAAAATCTTCTCTCTCCTCTACACTCCTCCCTTCTCCGGGTGCATACTTTATTACGATAACTTTTTACATCCCCCCTATTGAATCCACAAATCCTTGAATTTAACATTTATATTATTTTTTCCCGCCCAAAAACCGGTCCTTCAACATTTTTTGCTAGCCCTTCT